GTGTGTGTGTGTATGTGTGTGCGTGTATGTGTGTGTGTGTATGTGTGTGTGTACGTGTGTGTGTATGTGTGTGTGTGTACGTGTGTGTGTGTGTATGTGTGTGTGTACGTGTGTGTGTGTGTTCTGCGAACCAAATTTTACCGTAAGATTATTCTTTTATTTGTATATTTAATATAAATAATGTACTATTATTATTTGTTATCAAATTCTACTTTAGTTAAATATGCATTATGTTTGCTGAATTCTTTTTTTTCCTGATGTAATCAGTGGTAAGTATCACATGACTGGATTATTCTATTCCAATTAAAATGCCAAGAGATATTTCCCTGATGAAAAAAGAAAAAAATGAAGCAGAACATGACCAGTTGGCTTGCATAAATGGACATCTTATTGTTTATTTATCGTACACTCTGGTAATATCGAAAGGGCAAAACAATATTCATAAACTTGGAAAATTATTACAATAGATTAATTTTTACTTTTAAACAGCAGGCAGTAACGGAATTTTTAGTGAACAAGTAATTTAAATTAGTTGACGGGTTATTCGGTCATTCAGCCTTGTTTCCGTTATCGGCACATAATTGCTGTTTAGAAATCCGGCAGCAGCAGTTGAAATATCAACTTTAATTTATTATGTGAGTGGACTTTAATTCAGTATATGTATATCCAGTAAAAGTGTGTGAGTACCGGTTAGCTATGGATATTCTAATTTATGCTTATTAACTTGAAAGAAAGAAGTTCTATGACTTTTTTCCATTTTCATGATTCCCATTTTTTTCCCATAATTTTCAAATCTTCACGATTCCCATGATTTCCATTTCCATGATATATCGTATCTAAGCTAATAATTATACAGTATCTTTCAGTTTGAAATGATAATTACTGCTGATTGTGATAATGCTTCATTCAATGTATGAAATGATAATATATGAAATGAAGTGTATTTGTTTTTCATTTAAAATGACATGTTTTTATTATCAGTTATATTATCACTGCAAAAAATACTTCGGTACAAGTCAATCTATGATTTTGTCAACTGATCTCAAAATGTATGATCCGTAAAAATCCGACATTAATTTAACTAAAAATTTTCTGGGTATTAATTTATGAAAAATCATTGCAACGAAACTGTTGCTTTTAAAAAATTATCAAAAGTGAGATGGGATGGGATGGGAGGTAAATTATTTTAATAAATGAATGGATCAGGAGTAACAATCATTTTATAACGAATGACACCATCATTGGTCAAATTTCCTTTGAACAAAACTGAACCGGATTTGGTAAAATCGTTTTATTGGGTAAAATGATGAAGGTACAGTGAAAATAAATGGAAGAATGGCGACATTAGTGGAAGTAGGCGATAGTTGAAATGACATATCGACGACATCTTCCATTCGGGATATTGCCTTGAATCAGGTTTTTCATGCTGTCCAACATTTTTTTTTTCCTTCCTTTTCCACCTACTACATCTATCTACTCTTTTCACAATTCTTTTGCTATATTATCATACATATACATATACCTTTATTACAATTAGTAAATGATTTGTTAATTTTCTTGAGGGCAAATAAAAAGACGCATTTTGTCTTGTGTTATAGTCGTTGACAATGATCTATCAAATGCCCGGAATGGAAGAGAATCAAGTTTTTGCATTATTTCATGGTGTTGAACAATGAATACAAAGAAATAATGATATTGCTTCGGATATGCTAGTCGTTAATTTTTCATCAAAAATCACATATCAGTCATATATCGTTATCATCCTATCATATAATCACTAATGATAAATCAATGTCTTGCTGTAATTATCAGCTCATTAGAAGCAATATTTTATTCAATAATTCATTATCCGAAACTTTCTTGAAATTCGTTCGTTATTACTTTAACTTTAACCTTAACCTTTTGGGATCCAATGATTCGAAGCAAAATGCTGTTAGTTCTTTCAGTCAAAAGATCACAGATTATTACTGAAAGAATCTATCAATACACAAATATCTATCACATTGCATAGATCAAAATATAATCAATTGTGATAACAACAGTATAATTTTGAATGGAAACTTTTGAATAGTGGTCGATAGATGATGCTCAAAAGTGACTCCTTACGATTGGTGGTGGTTCATTGTCCCCCCTTTTCCATCTTTGCCCCGCGACACTATAACTATCTCTCTATTCATCACATGCTTTCTTTTATCTCTTCGTTAAACATTTACCGGTTGATGTTATTGGTTGATATTGGTTGTCGGTTGTTGTTGTTGATGATGATGATGATGATGTTGATGATGATGGTTCATGTTCATGTTTATGTTTTGATGATAATGATGATGATGATGATGATGATGATGATGATGATGATGATGATGATGATGATGATGA